TTTGATACATGATATCATATGGTGATTAAAAAAAAAACATGTGGCTGGGGACTTAGCTCCAGTTCAGAGACCTATATAGTTGTGGCAGCAAATTAAGAAGTTATGGAGTTAGAGGCTAAGTGCATGGTACCAAAGCAATTTTGCACAATAGAAAAGAATAGAAAAGAATGGAAACAGCTACTGCGGAAACTGAACTTCTCGACCCTCAGAACTTTGTGGTAGGTAGTGGAATGGTATCCATATATAAACAGAAAGGAGTAGATCAATGAGATCACTATATCCATCATTCCTTAAGAACACAAAAATGATTTAATCCTTCATAGACAAAAAATGCACCTATCACGAAACAAAAATTAAATAATGAACGGATCCAAAAAAGGGACTTTTTACTTATCGAGTGATGAGGAAGGTAGCTGGACAATGGCTCTTTCCATTTGAGTAGTGAAGTGGACACAACCTAAGGTGAACCAAACAAATAATAATATCACCTCTTCTCTGACAGATATGGCAGTAGAAGCAAAGCACTCACCTTTGCGGCACTTGATGAAATGGATGATGTTTGCGTTGACTGCGTGTCCGGCATACATTGATGAGACGACAACTAACGATTTCGAACCTTGTCTCTATTAGAGAGTTCCTAAGGAACACCCAAAAAAATGGCTATGCATATATCTGTAATACGAAAAAATAAGCTTAGTAGTGTTTACACCTAAAAATAATTTGGCCTTAGATATTGCCGACTTTACAGGATTAACGACGCCGCAAGCTAAATAGTATGGTGGTAAGAATCGATACCGTGAATTAGGCGGCGTTGTGAGTTCGACGACACCGCGAGATAAAAAAATATTGAGGTAGTGAGCAATGCCGCAAGTTCAGAGGTTTAGCGATGCTGCGAGCTAAACAAACATCGCGGTGGTCGGTGATGCCTCGAGGTCAGCGGCGTTGCAAGTTCGACAACGCCGCCAAAATCAAATATATCGTGAGTTGAACGAGGTTGAAAAGTTCAATGAATCCGCAAGTTCAGTGACATCGAAGCCACATATCTAAACATCATCGCCAGTTCTGGCCACAACACTGTTGCCAGAAGCAAAGAAACCCAACGTGTCTGTTCCTCTGAACAACGTTGTTCTAAAGGACACACAGTTTGGAATTGGCTTGCAACCACTACAAAGAAGTCAATATCGACTTACCTGTAGTAAGATTGAAAACTATATTCAGGGTGGAAAACTTGGTTACTGCCACGTTAAGCATAGCAAGCTCGCACATGATGTATTGTCAAACCAGCATCGCGCTAGTGTTCAACTACCACGTTAAGCCGTTAGGTGGGCATGAGATCCTGCCACATAGCCGGTTGAAGGAGAAACAACATTGCGAGGGGCAAATAAATTTGTCAAATCCACCCTGCTCTTGGAAAAATCAGACCAGGGTTATCACAGACACTATTCAGTGTAAGGATGGTAGCCACGTGACAAATAAGTGGCAAATAAATTTTTCAAATCTACTCATTTAAGTTGTCCCCAAAGCCTCCGCTGAGTGGACAGGGGGCAAGTTCAATCAAATCCAATATGAAGTTGCCACGCTAGTGCTGGCTATGAACACGTCTCTCATGAATGGTGTACAGGGGAGCAAGTCTAATTATTATCAACCCCTCCCAACTTCACGTGGAAACTCAAATGCTGCAAAGTTGTGCCAAAAACGTGAAAGTTGTGCCTAGAGCAAAGAACACTTCTGATTTTCCATTCTACAAGGCTAAGATGAGGCAAAATCAGACTCGTGGAGTCTCGAAAAAGGATGTTCGAGCTAGACATGTTGAAAGGTTTCAATCCAATATTGACATTGAAACGTCGAAGTTAACATGTGTAGAGCCAACTGTGATTGGTCATGGGATATATGGATGGATGGTTTGGTTTGGTCAGTGGAGTTGTCAGTGGGTTGTGGACGTTTGGTAGGATGATTTATGCCAAATTCGATCATGTTTCTATTTTTAAAATAAATAGAAAGCGGCTAGTTTAGGCCACATAATATGTCTATATATATATAAGTGGTATTGCTTAGCAATGCCGTAGCATTGCATGGTTGCGGGGTCTTTTCTGGCCCATTGGACAAAACAGCTATGCGGATAGTTGTTGTGGTGTTAGAGTTGTAGTCCTCGTATACCTCCCAGTGTCCGAGTCCTCATAGGAAGAGTTATTTTCTTTCCTTCTTGACTCATCTTGTTGTTACTTGGGAGAGAAGTCAGCGGTGCTAGGGTACAGAGGCAGTCAGCCTAGGTCATGCTGCTTGTACTATATATATTGGAAGCTATAGCTTGCAGCTGTGAATCATCATCACAGATATCAATAACAGTCTAGACCGAGAGCTCCTTCGAGCTCTCCGTAGATTAGTCCTGCTCACATCGAGCAGGGATATCACGTAAAACTATTATGTGGTGTTCAATTTCTATTTCGCAATCTCGTTTTCTACATGGTATCAGAGCTGGCGGATCAATCCAGCTTAACCGAACTCAGTCGCTCCTTCTTGCAGTCGTCGTTGACGCAATCTGAGTCATGTTCGGGGAAAAGAGCCGCTCGTCTGGCGTGATCACGACAAGGGATGGTCCAGACCCGTCGTCGCCTTATTATCTCCACGCCTCGGATCAACCTGGACACGTCTTTGTTGGAGTGCTACTTACCGAACTGAATTACGGTGAGTGGGAGTCTGATATGCGCCAAGCTCTCTTGGCAAAGAACAAGTTGGGCTTCGTCACCGGGAAGCTTGTCAAGATCAAGGCAGACTGGCAGCAAGACGCATGGGCACGGTGTAATGCCATGGTCATGGGTTCGCTCAAGAGCTCCATGTCTCGATAAGTTCGTGTCAGTGTCCGATACGCTGAAACTGCACAACAAATCTGGTCAGATCTCAAGGAAAGATTCGGTGTGGGCAGTCTACCACGTCTCTATCAGCTCCGCAAGTCTATCGTCCTTCATCAATAGGAGAAAGCTAGCGTCTCGTGTTTTTATATGAAACTCTGTAATCTATGGGATGAAATTCAAGCTATATCTCCAACTCCTAAGTGCACGTGTGGGTTGTGTACATGTGAAATTGAAAAGCGTATGAGAGACGGTGAAGATAGCCATAGACTATTTTACTTCTTAATTGGGTTGGATGATGTTTTTAACACCGTTCGAAGCCAAGTGTTGTCGATGAAACCTACCCCGACTCTTAGGGAAGCATTCCAGATGGTTAACAAAAATGAGCAGCAGCGAATGGTCACCAACACTCGGCGGCCCAAGGTTGAAGCCGCAACTCTTCAAGTTCAAGGAAACAATGCTGGCCAGCAAGAAAATAATGTTGACGATATGAAAGTGTAAGTAAATCGCACACTAGAGGGACATCCTCGGTGCTCCTATTGTCAAAAGGTGGGTCATTTCAAAGACAATTGTTATGAACTTATTGGATGGCCACAAGAACTACAAGGACGGGATCGGCCAGCTAGTCGTGATGGGCGGGAACGCCGAGGACAAGGCCGCGAGAACCGATCTGGGTCTCCTCGAGCAGCACAAGTCGAATCAAATTAAAGTGGTGTCCCGAGCCTTACCGCCGCTCTACTCGAGCAGCTAAGAGTCTTTCTTAATTCCGAAGCAAAGTCTGCAGCAACACCCACAGTAAACATGGCAGGTACGACTCCTTCATCATTTGATCTATTTCAAAGTTCATGAGTTATCGATTCTGGTTGTAATGAGCATATATCTAAAGATGCATCTATTTTTATCAATGAGCTCGAGATGAGCAATGGTTTACAGGTAAAAATACCCAACGGAAAGGGAGTTTCAGTTAAGGGTATCGGCCAAGCAAAATTGGATAATGGCCTAGTTCTTAATCGTGTGTTGCACGTTCCTAAGTTCAAGTGCAACCTCCTATTTGTCAGTCGCCTAACAGCAGATCTTCCGGTTGCTGTGATTTTCATCAATGATTTTTGTGTAATTCATGACTCACGCTCCAAGAGGCTAATTGGAACGGGGATTCATCTTGATGTACTATATCCTTTGCGCTTGTTCGATAGGGAACATCCGGTGGCTTTCTCGGTGAAGCGCGCATGTCAGGACACACAGTTGTGGCATTCACGTCTTGGTCATCCTTCCTTTGAGAAATTGTCGATTTTAGCACTTTTTCTTAACAGTACTATTGTTCGGAATAGTACTTCTTGTGGTTCTTGTTTGCGAGACAAGAAGACAAGACTACCTTTTGAAGCTAGTAGTATCAAAACTTCGGCTTGTTTTGAGTTAATTCAAGTCGACATTTGGGGTAGCTACAGTCAAGTTTCTATGTCTGGTGCATATTATTTTCTCACTGTCGTGGATGATTATAGTCGATGCGTATGGGTTTCCTTTTGAAGTACAAGTCGGAGGCAGCTCGCTATCTATTTCTTTTCTGTAATCAGGTGGTCATGCAATATGGCATGAGAGTTCGTCGAATTCAGGCAGACAATGGTCCTTAATTTAATAGTTATGCACTATGTGACTGCTATGAAGAGCACGGGATAGTTCTGCAAACATCCTGTACCGACACGCCACAGCAGAATAGAGTAGTAGAATGTAAACATAGACATCTCCTCGATCCGGCTCGTGTCCTTCTCTTTCATGCAGGGTTACCCTCACGATTTTGGGGAGAATGCGTTCTGACGGCTGCTTACCTCATAAATCGGATGCCTCTCACATCTATTCGAAACCGAACGCTGTATCAGCTCCTGCTCGGCAAGGAACCTACTTATACACACCTAAGAAGCCTCGGTTGTTTGGTGTATGCTAAGGACAACCATCAAGGGTTACGCAAGTTCAGCGAAAGGGGGCGAGCTGGAGTATTCGTAGGATATCCCGCTACTCAACGAGGGTGTCGTATTTATGATCTCGCCGACAAGGTCATTTACACGTCGTGAGACATCACTTTCATGAAGGGCATATTTCCGTTCTGAGCACTGCCTTCTGTCAAGGGTCACAATCCTTAGTCCACGTCGCCATTGCATGAGAGTGCATGGAGACAACTTCATGATGGTCTTGATTTCCACGTGCTTAACCAACTTCACTTTGAGGAACCACATGATATACCTCCTAAAAGTCAAGGAGCAAACTCCTCTCCTCCAGTTGAAGTCTCGCACGCTGAAGATGAAAATTCCCCAGGGTCGAATGATAGTTACCTGGCTGCATCATCGAATCAAGAGATCCCCTCATCACCAATTCAACCTGCCCCACCTAACTCGAATGAGTCGACTGCTGGAGCTAGCGAGCATCCTGTCCCCACAGTTAAGCTTCGATGAAGTGACAGGCAACCTCAGCTACCTCGACCTTTTGAAGGGTTTGATGTCACTCTTCCCGCGTCGCTCTCCCAATCAGATCCATCCGCTAGAACGGTTCAGCATCCCATTGTGAAGCACATTACTTATGAAGGATTATCACCCATCTATAAAGCTTATCTAGCTCATATTGATGCCGTTGCAGATCCCCGTGACTTTTCTCAGGCGATTAGGTACCAGGTGTGGCGTAACGCCAAGCAGGCCGAAATCTTAGCTCTCAAAGCTAACGACACATGGAGCCTAGTTCATTTACCACCAGGCAAGCGGGCAATAGATTCCAAATGGGTAAACAAGGTGAAGTACTTGCCGAATGGAGAAATCGAAAGGTACAAAGCGTGATTGGTCGCAAAAGGATACACTCAAGTCGAGGGCATAGATTATCACGATACGTTCGCTCCGGTCGCCAAGTTAGTCACAGTGCGATGTCTCCTAGCAGTTGCAGTCAGTCGTGGGTGGTTTCTTCATCAATTAGATGTAAACAATGTTTTTCTCCATGGCCATCTAGAAGAGGAGGTCTATATGAAGATCCCACAAGGTTTTGCACAACCATGTGACACGCGTGTTTGCTGTCTCCATAAATCTATTTATGCTTTCCTTCTTTGCTCGGCCAAACAATATGAGAGCGGAACAAGTGCATAACCTTGTGGTTAATAACCTCATGCATAATCCAATCAGAATCTGTCACATCAGCGCCCCTTCTCTATCCTGAAAAGCCTTTAACTTTCTCCATTTAATCTTTAACGGATGATTTCTTACTCATTTTAAGTCGGAATTTAAATTTTTTTGCACCGTTAGATCACATTAATTGTGATCTTCAAAGAGCACTTCTACTATGCTATATAGTATTGGTGCTTTAATGTACAATTTAAAATTGTACCATAACATTAAATGTATAAGTTTAGGTTGTACCATAAAGCAATTTGTACCATTATGTTATGGTACAACTTTACAACTTGAAGTTGTACCATCACATAAAGGTACAAGTTCAAGTTGTACCATAAAAGAATTTGTATAAAAAGTATAGGTACAATCTGAAGTTGTACCATAACATAAATGTACGATTTTAAGTTGTACCATAAAGACAAAATCCTATAGCACCAATACTATATAGCATTGTAAAATTTCTCGATCTTCAAAATGATATCCAATTTTATATATTTTGGAACAAAAAAATTTGAACAAGTTAGTACCAGTCTATACCATATTGTATTGACTGGCATTAAATAAGAACATACCATATGGTATGAAAAATACCACCCCATATCTGGGTGGTATATAGTATGGTAGGGAGTTGGTAACGAGAGGTATGAAATTTTTTCACCCAGAAATTTTTGAAATCCCATAGATCGTGATTAAATCATTCCTTCTGTGCAAAAATTTTCGAAAACGACTAAAAATCGAAAGAGATACCATATGGTATGGAGTTGATAACGAGATATGATTTTTTTCTCAAAAAATATTGAAAATGGATCTCATTTTGTAGAGCACAACGAACTCGTTCCATCTGTGAAAAAATAAATTTGAAATCCGAGTTAGAATGAAGAAAATATGATCTGATTAAGAAATATAGGAAAAATAAAATGTCTTTAATTTACAACCCTTAGATATACAGTCACTTAAAAAGAAGAGTCCAAATTTGGTTATCCATGTTAAGCACCCTAAGGTTATGCACCCTATCTTGAGCCAACAATATGGTCGTGGGTATAGGTGTCAAAACATAGCCCAACCCGATTAACCGGACCCGCAACCCGAATTGACTAAAAGTCAACAACCGTAACCCGCCCGACCCGCAACCTGATTGACCCGCAAACCGTCTAACCCGCAAACCGACTGACCCACAACCCGATTAACCCAAACCTGATTGACCCGCAACCCGATTAACCCGAACCCGATTGACCCAAAACCGACCGACTCATCCCGAACCTCACTTAGTATAGGGAATTTAAAAAATATGAAACTCACTTGATATTATGTATTTTAAGAAAATTACAAAAATTGAAACAAGAAGGTCACTTGAACACTAAGTTCTTTAACAAAATTAAAAAAGAAAATATAAAATCAACATAATGTCAATATTAATAATGAAGAATTAATAATTGAGATCATGGACAATATTAATATAATATATAAATTAATAATTTGGTTAATTTAACTATTCAATAAAATTACCAATTAAATATAAATAAATTCTTATATGCTTTGAAGGCTAATATATATATATATATATATGTATGGGGAGTTCTACGGTACCCCTGGTGAAATCCGGGATACCGCATACCTTAAGTAAGAAAACGCAATCTAGAACTTGAATTGGCTGATCTTTCGGACATTATACTGTACTCTGACCGATAAGATCAAAATCTAGGTCTTAATTCTCTAAATCTTATACCCCAAGAACAATTTAATTAGAAACAATAATCAACGGTTATGATTCGTCCAAATATAGGCAAAAAAAGTAATACACCATATTAGGGTTTTTAGTTTATGATTTAGATGATTAGGACCTAGGGTTCACTCATTAAGGGTTAGGGTATAGTATCATGCCCAAAAATCCTGCTAATTCGAGGTCTACATAGCGTTTTCATACTCAAGGTATGCGATACCCCAGATTTCACCCGGGGTACCGTAGAAGGCACCATGTATGTATATGTATATGTATTATATATATGTATGTAATTGTTTATGTGCTAATAAATAAATTAACCATTAGTTACAACAATTATACTAGACTTGATAAGTAATCTTTGACGGTTCGTTGTTTAGGGTATAAAGTATATTGGTTAGGGTAAATGGTATAAGGTACAGATGGTTTAGGGAGTATATGGTTAGGGTATAAGATATTGATGGTTTTGACGGTTCTAAGTTTTTTATTAACGTAACATATGTTCACTCGAAGTCATTTGACGTCTTTAACGGCAGGAGACCCCTTTTTAATTTATGTTTGTGGTACTTGGTTAGGGTACAAGGTATATGATGTAGAGTATAGGATATATGGTTAGGGTATAACAATTAGCAAATATCACTTTTTATCTATGTTTTTAAAATCAAAGTATGAATTTCAGTTTTACATTAACTATACTAGTAAAATCACAACTCATAAGGACATATGGTTAGGGTATAGGGTATGTGGTTAGTGTATAATGATGGTTTAGGGTATACAATCAACAACATATACTAACTTAATATTGTCGATTGAGGGTAAGACTAAGTGTATAGGATATATGTTATTGAGTAAGTTATGATTGAAGTCCCAATAATTTTACTAGATTTGACAGTTAATCTTTAATGGTTCAATTTTCAGGATAATTCGAACAATTTTACAAATAACTGGTTTGGCAACAGTTTACTGAAGTTATTTGGGCAATGGGTAATTTCGAAATAACTCCTTTTATCACTCTGCTTTTGCCTAATACCACACGCCAAATACCACATTTGCATTGTTATACTAAATGAGATACTTTAATCCAATTACACTACTGAAATAATACTAAGATATCAAATAAATAATTAATGGTATCTTTTGGTTGTAAATATTGATATCACCATTACTATTAGCTAGTGTACTTTACCAATTACGATTAATTACATAACAAGTTTGCAAGTCATACAAATTGATTTAACATTTTGACTCATTTTTTTCAAAAAAAAATTAATTATATATATATATGAGGTAGAAATAAATTGGTTAAAATATATATATTGTTTTCAAAATAAAGTTTTTCATTCTCAACCTAAGTAAAATCATTGGCATTTAGTTAAGAAAGTTCAAAATCTGAAATTCACTTGAAATTATGGTTATTAATTACAAAAGTTATGACATGAATTTCTTTAACCAAATTACAAAAAAAGTAAATATAAAATCAGCACAATGCTAATATTTATAATAAATAATAACTAAGACCTTTTGTCTATAATAATAAACTTTATTATTGGAGAAGATGACAAGGTAAGAACTAAGAAGTAATTTTGGGCGGATGTGATGAAATTTTGGTTTTGGGAGGGTGATGAAATTTTGGGCGCCCAATTTTTTGCAAGCAGCGGGAAGGGTTTTGTGTTTTTGGTGTAATTGTAGTGGGAGGGTGATGATGAAATTTTGGGCGACCCAATTTTAGTTGTGGTGGGAAGGCGAGATTTCAAATTTCGATTGTGGTGATTTTGACTAGTTTTTTTTTAATTAAGTATATATATAAGGTAGAAAGAAATTGATTAAAAACTGTGAAAAATATTTTAAATTAGTGTAATAAAATGTGTAAGTTGGTAACGAGTAAGTAACTCGATGCGTTGACCTGAACAACTCGCAACCCAATCCGCCGGCAACTCGTCCGATCAGAAACCCGATGAACTCGAACCTGATTTGCCCGTAACCCGATTGAACCCAAACCCGATCAACCCGCAACCTGACTAACCCGCAACCCGATTAAACCCGAACCCGATTGAACCCGACTCGACGAACCCGCAACCCGACTAACCCGTAACCCGATTGAACCCAGCCCGAACCCGGCCGATTGACACCTATAGTCGTGGGGGAGCGGATCAGGTGCATAACTTTGTGGTGAATAACCCCATGCATAACCCAATCAGAATCCGCCACATCAGCGCCCCTTTTCTCTACTGGAAAGCCTTTAATTTCCTCCCCCCCCCCCTCTCCCTAATTTTTAACGAACGATTTCTCACTCATTTTAAGTCGAAATTTAAATTTTTTTTGCACAATTATATCAAATTAATTCTGCTCTTCAAAATTATATCCACTTTGATATATTTTGGAACAAAAAAATTTGAGCCAGTCTATACCATATGGTATTGACTTTCATTAAATAAGAGCATACCATATGGTATGAAAAATACCACCCCATCCAATTGAAGATTACGCAAAAGTCCCCATCCAACTCAATTTTGACTTTCCAATTGAAGTCACTCTCATCTCTCACCTAATAACTTGTTATTTTCATAAGACTAAAAGATAAACACTCGTATTAGTCGTCTCTTAGTCTTCAATTCGTCAAATTAAAGATTACCAATGATAAGAACTTGAGATGTCACATCTCCTTCATTCTCCTTATCCATATCCTAGTTCTA